CACGGTCTCAAAGAACTTTAGAAATGCAGATTATTTCTTCCCATTTACAAATAAACACTCTGCCGTGGTTTTCTGAAGAGAGCAGCACAGAGTCAGAGGATTAGCTATGCTTCTGCCTCATGACCAAAACAGATCATCTGCCAACGTTTGCTTTATGTGCATGTAGCATTCGGGGGTGGGGTTCTGGGAAGGGATCAGGAGTGATGCTTATATGTCTAAATCGTCCAGTAGAAGATTTGGAAGTAAAAGAAGACGGACAGAGGCAGGTTTCAATATGAACCCAGCTCCCAGGTAAAGCCTGGCCCCTTCTTGGCGGCTGTGGAGCACTCTTTCTTAGAAGACCTAGTCTTGGACTGCAAAGGTTTGGGGTAGCGTTTAAGGAGCACTGACAGGCGATGCATACTTCCTACTGCCCAGGATAGGGTGATCAGACAGCAAATGTGAAAAATCGGGACGGGGGTGGGGGGTAATAGGAGACTATATAAGAAAAAGACCCAAAAATGGGGACTGTCCCTATAAAATTGGGACATCTGGTCACCCTAGGCCAGGCGCTCGGCTGCACAGGGGCTCACTGCACACCACTATACAGCTGAGATTTGGAACTTGATCAGTGGATCCTTTGTGTTCTCTTAAATAGTAGGGATGAATATTCCCTCCACTGTTGGAATTTCTGGGTAAAATCCTATTGTTAGTATAATGCAGGAGGTCAGATTAGAAAAACCACATTAGTCCTTTCCATGGAATCACAGAACTGGAAGGGCCATCAAGAGCTCATCTAGTCCAGTCCCCTCTGCTCAAGGCAGGACTAAGTACAGTAGAACCTCAAAAATACGAACACCAGAGTTACAGACTGACCCGTCAACCAGACACCACGTGGACCCAGAAGTAAGCAATCAGGCAGCAGTGGAGACGAAAAACAAAAAAACCCCAACAAATCCTGTGCTGTGCCGTGCCAGTATTGCATCTTAGAGTTAGGCACATCTGGGCTGCCTGTCCCCACCCCTACCCCCTACTTGCCACGCAGCAAGCCAGCCACTTACAGGTGAAGACGCTGAGGTTCACAGGCACAACTGTGAGCTCCCGAGCAGAAGTGCTGGGGTCTGCACTGCTCACAGGGGCTGGTTCCCCCTCTGGCCGGGAGCGGGACAAGCTTGCAACCTTAGTCTCAGTCCAGGAAAGAAGCTTCCTGAGCTGCTGCTGGAACCTGGCCTAGAGTGTGCGCTGCTGGAGCCCGGACTCCTGCCTGCATGCTGCGGTCTGGAGGAGCAGCTCACTTTTAAAGGGCCCCAGCCTGCCCCGCGCGCCCACTGATGCCCCAGTGCCCCAGGGTGCCTCACGCATCACCCTGGCAGTTGGGCTAGAATCAGAAACTTGTCGGGCAGCAGCTGCAGAGCTGTGAGCCCCCATTCTGAGCAGTCCGCCCTGAGGAGCATCCCATAACGGCTTGTTCAGAGTTACGAACCACCTCCATTCCCGAGGTGTCCGTAACTCCGAGGTGCTACTGTATTATCTAGACCATGGTAGTCAATAGGCAGATCATGGGCCAAATCTGGATTGAAAGGACCCCAAAATCTTTTAATTTACATATTGTTATTTTTTTAAATGATTTTCTCTGCAGTCTGGCCCCTGACTATACATTGATGAAGAATTTGGACCTTGACAAAAAATAATTGACTACCCTCATCTAGACCATCCCTGAGAGGTGACTGTCTAGCTTGCTAAGAACCTACAATGACAGAGATTTCACAACCTCCCCAGGCAATTTGTTCCAGCCAGCGGCGGCTCCAGGCCCCAGCGCACCAAGCGCGTGCCTGGGGCGGCAAGCCGCGGGGGGGCAGCCTACCATTCGCTCCGAGGGCGGCAGTCAGGCGGCCTTCGGTGGCATGCCTGCGGGAGGTCCGCCGGTCCCGCGGCTTCGGCAGCAATTCGGCGGTGGGTACGCCGAAGGCGCGGGACGGGACTGGCAGACCACCCGCAGGCGTGCTGCCGAATCTGCGGGACCGGGGACCTCCCGCAGGCGTGCTGCCAAGGCCGCCTGACTGCCGTGCTTGGGGTGGCCAAAAAGCTAGAGCCGCCCCTGGTTCCAGTGCTTAACTATGCTGGCAGGAAGTTTTTCCTAACGTCCAACCTAAACCTCCCTTGCTGCAATTTAAGCCCCTTGCTTCTTGTCCTATCCTCAGAGGTTAAGAAGAACAATTTTTTCCCCTCCTTGTAACAATCTTTTATGTGCTTGGAAACTGTTGTTATGTCGCCTCTTAGTCTTCTCTTCTCCAGACTAAACAAACCCAGTTCTTTCAATCTTTCCTCATAGATCATGTTTTCTAGACCAGCGGTTCTCAACAGGGGGTTTGTGGCCCACTGGGGGTCCGTGAACCCTTTCAGGGGGGCCACAGGGCCCTGTGGCTAAAATCCAGAGCCCGAACCCCAGCACCTCCCGCAGGGCTGAAGCCCTGATCCCTGGGGCCCCCCACAGGGCTGAAGCTGGGAGCAGCAGGGTTCAATTCTGGAGCCCCGAGCCCCGGTGCTCCCCACGGGGCAGAAGCCCTGAGCCCATGGGAGTACACAGGGGTGTTACACGCCCCCCAACTACAGTGCAAGAGCAGGGCAGTCCTGGGGCAGCTCCACACCCCCCCCCTCCACCTCCTTCTCTCCCCACTCCCTGGCTACGTCGGAGGTGGGAAGCCAGAGCCCGGAAGTGTGGGCCAGCTACTGCTCTGGGCTGGTGCCATGGAGCAGGCAGCCGCAGCGTTCCCTCGTCTCCTGCTGCTGCAGGGGGTTGAACCTGCTCCCCTTTGCTCAGGCAGCTGGTAAGAGCTGGCTGGGCGGGGGGACCCGGCTTTGTGGCTGGCAGAGCCCTCAGGGTACAGGGACCGCAGGGGAGCCCCCACAGCACATAGCCCCTAGTTACCCCCTGCCTGCACCCTCAGCTATCCCCTGCCTGCAATCAGCCCCTAGCTACCCCCTCCCTGCACCCTCAGCTACCCCCTGCCTGCACACAGCCCCTAGCTACCCCCTCCCTGCACCCTCAGCTACCCCCTGCCTGCACACAGCCCCTAGTTACCCCCTCCCTGCACCCTGAGGTACCCCCTGCCTGCACACAACCCCTAGTTACCCCTGGCCTGCACCCTCAGCTACCCCCTGCCCGTACACAGCCCCTAGTTATCCCCTCCCTGCACCCTGAGCAACCCCCTGCCCGTACACAGCCCCTAGTTACCCCCTGCCTGCACCCTCAGCTACCCCCTGCCCCCCCACAGCCCCAGCTACTCCCTTCCTGCACCTTGAGCTACAGCCTCACACACACAGCCCCTAGTTACCCCCTCCCTGCACCCTGAGCTACTCCCTGCCCGCACACAGTCCCTAGTTACCCCTGGCCTGCACCCTCAGCTACCCCCTGCCCACACACAGCCCCTAGCTACCCCCTCCCTGCACCCTGAGCTGTTTTCAAACTTTTTGAGCTGAGCCCCCCACCTTTGAGTCGCTGAGGTGAGTCAGGGGGTGGAGGTGGCATTCCCTCCCCAGACCCCGACGTGCGGAGCTGGCTTGAGCCTCACTGGCCCCTGCCCACCCAAAACAGAAGTCAAACTATGCCCACGTTTCCACCCTCCCCCGGCCCAGAGCCTCCCCGTCCCCCGCTGGGCCCTGGAGTTTTTATGGCATGTTGTGGGTGGCCTCCGAAAGAAAAAGGTTGAGAACCCGTTCTAGACCTTTAATCATTTTTGTTACTCTCCTCTGGACCTTCTCCAATTTGTCCACATCCCTCCCGAAATGGCGCCCAGACCTAGACACAATACGCTAGCTGAGGCCATGTCAGCGCGGAGTAGAGCGGAAGGATTACTTCTCGTGTCTTGCTTACAGCGCTCCTGCTAATCCTGCCCAGAGTGATGTTTGCTATTTTTGCAAGTGCTACACTGTTAAGTCATGTTTAGCTTGTGGTTCACTCTGACCCCCAGATCCCTTTCTGCAGCATTCCTTCCTAGGCAGTCATTTCCCATTGTGTGTGTGTGTGTGTGCAACTGATTGGTCTGTCCTAAGGGGAGCACTTTGCATTTGTCCTTATTGAATTTCATCCTGTTTGCTTCAGACCATTTCTCCAGTTTGTCCAGATCATTTCGAATGTTCATCCTATCCTCCAAAGCACTTGCAACCCGTCCCAGCTTGGTATCATCTGCAAACTCTATGCCATTATCTAAATCATTGATGAAGCTATTGAACAGGCCCGATCCCTGTGCGACCCCACTCGTTATGCCCTTGCAGCTTGACTGTGAACCACTGATAACTACTCCTTGGGAACAGTTTTCCAACCAGTTATCCACCCACCTTGTAGTAGCTCCATCTAGGTTGTATTTCCCTAGTTTGTTTATGCAAGGTCAGAAAGCCTTACCAAAGTAAAGATATACCACATCTACCGCTTCCCCTCTGTCCACAAGGCTGGTTACCTTGTCAAAGAAAGCTATTAGGGATTCAGACCTGGATCGATCCATTCGTAATGGCTATGAATCCAATGGCTTTCCCTCCCACACGATGTCAGCAAAAGTAGCAACGAGGCAGCTGAACAGCTCTGCTGCCACAGTGTGGCATGGGGGGAAAGGATTTTTTCCACTCAGTCCCAGAATCCCTCCCCAGGGACCAGCCCAGCTGCTTGGGATATGCCTTGGGCACAAAGTTTAGGCTTCAGCCAGTTCATAGCTCAGTTTCAGACCATGTGAAAAATCAGAACAAGTAACAACCATCACCAATTACATTTGAAAACTTGTCTTCACAACCATAAATGTTTAAAAGAAAGTTTCTATGTAAAGCTTCAATTCTGCAGAAAGTGATGGGAAAGCATCCCACAAGTAAGGGACATTTTCTTCCTTGCTATATTGCCAGGCTCTGAAAGAAAGGGAGCCAATGGCAAAGCTGGGACCAGAACCTATAATTCCCGACTCCCAGACACTCTAACCACTGGAGACAGCAAGGCTTAGCAGGGTGTGAAGACTGGTAGTCAGGAGATCTGGGTTCTGGTTTTGGTTCTACCATTAACTCGCTGAGAAACCATGAGAAACCACTGAGCCTCTCTTTGCTACAGGTTCTGTAAAACAAACGTAAGTTCTACATACAACACAGGTGTGATGTGAGTTTTAACTACTTTTTGAAATGCACTTTGTCTTTCACTTAAAAATCCCAAAGTATTAATGTAGGGTAAAAATAAATGGGTGACTTCTTAAAACGTATATTTTTTAAATACTCAAATTGCTTTCAAAATTAACAATCCACACTCTGGGTAAATTATTGGCTCACAAACTAAACAAAAATATTTAAGAGTTAGTTTCTCCAAAACATTTAATGAAACAATCCTCAAGCATTAAAAAGCAAGCATAAATGAAGGCAACATACATAGCCAATACGTATCAGTTTCCAAGCACTGGCCCACTATCATGCTATTTAATCTCGCCAAGATAGTAACACTCTAACACACTCACCTTCGTTTCAACTAGTGCTATCGCCTCATCCTCAAATGAACACATCAAATGACTGATCACCTGCAATGCACAACCTTAGCTCTGACCTTCCAATGCTACAGTTAATCATTATAATCTTAAAATTGCAGTTTTTAGCATCTCCATATACTATGCCCTAGATAAAGAAAAAACATAACACTGATCACACAAACATATTTCTCAAAAACACACCTGAACTTCACAATGTTCACATTATGAGCCAGATCCTTGGTGCAAAAGGACCAGAAAAAACGGCATTTCCAGAATTGGGATTCTCCCAGCATCAGTTGATAGGAGGGAGTTCCTACCCCTCACTACTTCTAGATCCCAGTGTGGGGCACTACTGGGGTAATTCAAATGGATCCTTTGCAGGGCCCTGGACTTAACTAGATGCAGCTGCATACAGAAGCGGATTACAATATATTGGGCCCCCCACCGTGGGGCTCCCCCCTGCTCCTTCCCTTCCCCCAAGGCCCCGCCCTCTGGTCTGGCCAGAAGCTGGGCCACGGTAAGAACTGCCCAGGGAGCCTGGGCCACCCTGGGGAGCCTGGACCCTCCACCTGCCCTGGGCGGCATGCACTGGGGGGCATGCACTGGGGGGCATGGACAAGGGCTAGGGGCTGCTGTCAGGCACTCTGGCCCCCTGCCCAAGGCAGGTGCAGCCAGGGTCCGGGGCTCCCCACAGCTGCCTGGACTCCCTGGGTAGCTCTTACCACAGCCTAGGGCAGGGGTCCCCAAACTGCGGGGACGCCCCACTAGGGGGGCATGGAGGAACGTTTGGGGGGGCGCGGCAGGACCCAGCCCTACTCCCAGCTCTGCTCTCACCCCACCCCAGCCCTGCCCCAGCTGTGACTCTGTTCCTAGCTGCATCCCCACTCACAGCCCCTGACTGTGGGCCCCGGCCCCACTCCTGTCCTGGCTTTGGGGGCGGTGTGTGAGCGTGACTGAAAAAGTTCGGGGACCCCAGCCTAGGATGACCAGACGTCCCATTTTGACCCCAGTCGTCCCAACCTTTTTAGCAATACCAGGCATTTGTCCTATTTGCTCTTGCCAACTGATCACCAGTTGGCAAGAGCAAATGGAATAAATGCCCACTTTTGCCAAAAAGGAGCTTGGAGGGAGGGTGAGTGGCAGGGCTTGGGGGGGGGTGAGCAGTGAGGCTCGAGTCAGCCCAGCGAGGGGGAAGGTAGGGGGTTTCATTGAGTGGTTTGGGCCAGCCCCACAAGGGGGAGGGAAGAGGGCCAGCTCTGTACAGGGGGAGAGGGAAGAGGGGGAGCTCAGCGCCACACGGGGAGGGGGAAAGGGACAGGAGAGGGGCTCAGAGCACCTCCATGCCGAGGAGGGGGAGGGGAGGGGGAAAGGGGCTGAGAGCAGCTCCACACCGGGGAGGGAGGGGGAAAGGGAGAGGGGCTCGCGTGAGCTCCATGCCGCGCAGTGTGGGGGGTAACAGGGCTCGCTCCAGTCTCACACAGAGGGCCCCTCGCTCCAGCGCCAGGCAGGGGGCTAGGGCCAGCTCTGCCTGGGGCGGGGGGAATTGCTCACCACCTCCACAGGTGTCTCTGACTGGGCTGGAGGCGGAGCCTCAGGGGGAAGAGGAGCGGGAGGGGGATAGAGAAGGAGCAGGGGCCGCGGCTAGAGTTCTAGCTGCTCCTGTGGGGCCCCCAATTGGTCGGGGCCTCTGGGCACGCCCCCGCTGGCCCATACGGTAATCCGCCAGTGGCTGTGTATTGAGCCCTATGACTTTAAAGAGACAGGATCAGCTACACAGCACACAACACCAAACATAACCCAGAATGACAAAGTGTAGTTCTCTGTCCCCCCTCTATCGACTGGGCCACAGAGATGTGTATTTGTCTGCTACAGCCTTTTAGCTCAGGCAATAAATAGAGGCTTGTAGTTTTAGATCCAGAGGTGCAAGTTCAGTCTCTGCTGCTGACCCTCGCGTACACAAACACGACTGGAATGTAGTCATACCATCGCATGTGCATGTTCACAACATTACACAACACAAGGAATGAACAGGTTAGAATTACCCCTGTGCAGTGCTGTTTCAGTTAGCATGTTGGTGTGGCTTCAGAGTCTCCAGGGCTAGAAGGGACAACTATGATCATTTAGTCTGACCTCCTGCGTAACACAGGCCAGAGAGTTTACCCAGAAATTCCTGCAGTTGGTCCCACAATTTGTGTTTGAACTAAACCGTATATGTTAGAAAAGCATCAAAGCCTTGATTTAAAGACAAAGTGTGGTAATTTAACCACTGGAACAGATTACCAAGAACTGTGGTAATTACCCTCCCTGATAGAACTGGTGGCATCTTATTGCAAGTTTCAACTTCCAGCCAGTGGATCTTGTAACACCTTTGTCTGCTAGATTAAAAAGAGTCCTCTAGTAGCAGATATCTGCTCCCTATGTCGATAACTATAGCACCATGATCAACTCACCTCTTAACCTTCTCTGAGGTATACTAAATGGATTGAGCCAAAGTTTCTCTTTGCGGGGTATGCTGTCAGACCACACAGCATTCTTGTAGCTTTAACTCTCGCCAATTTTTCAGCATTCTTTTTGAAGCAGTTAAGTAGCACAATGGTAGTAACCTAATGCTTGGAGATCGGTATTGTGTTGAGAATGAATGTTCCTTTAACTTACGTGTTTCGTGCTTTCTAATGTTTGTGTTTCATGCACTTGCGCAACCCTAATTCACAAGGGGTTTTTACATAGGATTGTCATCGTTTTAAAAAATAAAAACAGAAGTAAATGTGAGGGCTGAGGCCTGAGGGCTGTGTTGTTTACTTAAAACTTTGCATCCTCAGAAGACAAACTTTAGCTGATGTTCCAGCTTCCTCTGACACTCAAAGTTTTAACATTTGAAGGAAGAGCCATTTTATAAACCACATTTTATCTTGCAGTCTTTTTTCTGAATTAGGAGATAAGGGACAGCCAACAATACAAACATATTGTCATTTTACGTTGTAAATGCATTCCAAATCCACACTTAAGATGTAATTATCCCCGCATCACCCAGAAATGTGACTACAGTCTAGAGAAGTTTCTCAGAAGGGGCTTGTAGAATGGTGGATTAGATGTCTAAATAATGGGACTTCTGCTACCATTGCTGCTTTTATTGAATGTCTGTTATTGTGGAAATCCCTACACTTGTGGCAGGGTTGACAAAGAGAACTTACAGTTAAAGCTGAAATAAAGCTGTCCATCAGATAGTAGTCAGCTCCATCGTGCCCCATTAAATGGCTTGGAATGAATGCGGATTTGTTTGTCGGATAAGCAGTTTTCTCTCTTGTGCAAAAGTCAAAAACTTGCACTGGTCCCCCCCCATCACAGAATAGTTCTCCCTAGAAGTCCAAAGTAAAGCACAAAACACACCTTACTAAACACATCACTACGAATTTTTGACAGTGTTTCTAGTGTGTCTAAAACATGTCTACATTGCCCACAGCGCGGCCGCACTGCAACATGGGCAGTGTAGACACACCCTAAATGTAATGTCCACAATGAGTTTCTATCACAATTAAAATGTATTAAAACTCTAAACAAGATATTAAGACCACTCCTAGAAAAGTTACGTTGTATGTTTTTAATATTTTTCATTATGGACAGCATCTACCTGGTATTAAAATAATGGCTAGCTTAATCAGCAGGAGGATCAAAAATGCACGACAGAGCTATTGCACTTGTTTATTTGCTGGCCACTGACCTCCAGTTTGACAAAGGCCTCATATGGGCACAGGCCTTTAAAATGTGTCTCAAAAGTCAGCGTAAAACAGCAGGAAATACTATAGTTTTTAAGGGGCAGTTAGCAGACATAGCACTGAATTACTAGACCATAGTTGTTTGCGTAACAGAGGTGTCCAATAAACTAGTGCAGCAACACAGATGATAACTATTGCACTCAGCAGGACTTTTCCCTGTAACAACACTTCGTTAGCAGTTACACACATAGTATGCTGAAGTGTTAGTGTTTATAGCAAGATATTAATTAAAAAATCGCTAAGGCCCATAATCCGGGCATCATCTTTGATTTGTCCCCCTTTTTTCACTCACACATCCAGGCCATGTCCAAGCCGTGCTGCTTCTACTTACCTTGTTCTACATTCCTACCTTTCCAAACTACTCTAGCTTTTGTTCAGAATCTCTCTACTCTGAATACAGGCCCTCAGTATCTCTGTCTCTCTGGCCTTTAATGGGAATGAGGTAGTGTCCCCATAACTAAGGCCCTAAGAAAATAACAGACTTTTTCTTTTCTTTTTTAAATTCACGGTAGCATCTCAGGTAAATATTTGCATTTCATGGGACACGCATGGCCGCTGATCACCCCTGAACTGCTGTGATTTTTCCAACAGTGGCAAGGCAGAAGCAGGGTTAGCGGGTCAGTCCCATCCCAGGCTGTGGTAGGAGGTGGAGGGCTGGTCCTATCCCAGGGAGTGTTGGTGTTTTACCACATGGTGCTGGCCAGCCCGACCCAGGTCAGGGATTGGGGTCCAGCTAGCTCCATGTTCAGCTCCAGCAACTGCTGCTGCTTCCTGTCTGTCCAGTGCGGAGAAGGGGGCAGCACTGACAACACCACGATTGAGCTCCCTGGCCTGGTCCGCCCCATTGCGACCTCCGGCAGCCCAAGAAGAGACAACACAGCCCCAGCTGGTGGGGAGCTGAGGCCAGCCTGATCCTCTTGCCAAGGCGTGGCCTTCCTCACACTCCGATCACCCTGCAGGGGAAAAGGCTACCTCACGCCCCGATCTCTCCATCAGGGTAAGGCCTCCTCACACAGCTGTTCATATTGCAAGTGGCTGCAGTGCTAGACATTGTGCTGGCTACGGTGGGGGGATGGATCCTGGTCTCGGCTCCTGCGCTGTCTCCCCCAAGGCTGCCAGGGGCTGCTCTGGGATGGGTCACTCCTAATTGCTGCATTGTCAGTGCTGCCTCTCTCTGCCTGCTGGCCAGACAGGAAACAGCAGTGGCAGCCTGAGCCAGATCTTAGTGCGGCATGAGCTAGCCCGATTCCTGCCCCGGACCATCGAGTGCCATGTGGTCAGACACTCCCCGCACTGCCCTCACCATCTTCCTGCTCCCCTCCTGAATGGGACCAGCCTGCTAACCCCCCGCCCCCCCATGAGCAACCTCAGCAGGGAGGTGGGAGCAGGGATGCCCACTTCCACCTCCCTGCTGTTGGAAAGGGCTAATTCCATGATTTCCATGGAGTCCATGAAATTGTGATTTACAAAGGGCCTTACCCATAATATCCTTATAATAGGCCTAATCCACAACTCTCATTGATTTCAGTGGGAACAAGATTGTGCCCAGTAACTAGTAATGGTGAATAGTGTGGCAATCACCCATTCATTTACCTTGGTCCCATAGATTGTGGTTTTCCTTGTACCCAGCCGCTCCGTAAAGGCCATCATAGTAAAAGCAGCTGTTGCTCCTCCTTCAAACTCCATATTAACAACCTGGAAAGAGTAAAGAAGTTAAGAAACATCCAGCTGCTCTAGAAGTGCTGAGAGGAGTCCTGCAGGAGTGGGTGAAGGTGTATTTCCTCTCATCTATCATATAACTAGGAGTTACAAAGTAGACAGCACACACATCTGAAAGAGGAAATTAACAGAAGTTACATATCTCGCACGAGACAAGCTGTAAACTCCATGAGTTGTGTGCTGTGAGCATTTCTACTAGAGCAGCACAGAATTCATGTGTTGTACGCGCTCTATTTGTCAGAGAGTTTTACTTTGTTTTATCTTGTGCTGCACACAAGATACTTTTCAATAGTTTACTTTTTGCAGCAGGACTCCTGGCAGATTCACACCGTCTCAGAGTGGTGCTACTAGAGCTATGCTTATGGAAGCACTTCCAAAAGACTAGAGCTTACACACAAAAGTTTTCTCAAGGGCCAAGCTTTCCTTACAAAATCTCAAACAGGGAAAACTTTAACCAAATAAAACAACTTAACTGGTTTATTTTAAGACATACAAATTGAAGTGTACTGGTTTCATACTCAGAACTAATTTCTACAATTTTTAAAAATGTAAGTAAATAAATAAATGTTTACATGCACTAGCTAGATGAACAAAAAATATCATACCTGGTTACTGACAACATCATTGTCACATTCATAAACACATCTTCCATATGGACCGCTGCGCAGGGCCTCTGTCACAGCTTCTATGTCACAAACACCACTATTGCACACAACAGATACTGGCCAATTAAAATAACCCTACAAAAAATAACAACAACGTTACTTATGCAAGACATACTGTATTCTTATCTCAAACTTGCCTCTCATCTTGGACCAAATTCTCATTTATATGTACAGAAATCAGAACCATTTGCTACAGCTGGGTCACAAAACTGTTCCTGTAGGTAAACAACATGAACTCTCAGCGTGATGCTGTGGCAAGAGAGTTAGCATGATCCACTGAGGTATAAACGGGAGTTTCAAGTAGGAGTCCAGAGGTGGTATTATCTCTGTGTACGTCGGGTCCACTTCTGGGGTCCACACTTTAAAAATTATGTTAACAAATTGGAAAGAGCTCAGAAGAGAGCTACAGGAGTGACTCTAGGTCAGTATCAGAGGGGTAGCCGTGTTAGTCTGAATCTGTAAAAAGCAACGGAGGGTCCTGTGGCACCTTTAAGACTAACAGAAGTATTGGGAGCATAAGCTTTCGTGGGTAAGAACCTCACTTCTGGGTCAGTAGGCAACTTGATCAGTCTAATTTCCTACGTGAAGAGAAGATTTCTGATAGTTGGGGGGTTTCTAGGTGACAAAGGCATAAAAAGATCCAATGTCTGGGTGCAGAAGCCAGACAAATTAAGATGGGAAATAAAATTATATTTTTTAAACTAAAAGGGTAATTAGCTATTGGAACAACTTACCTAGGTGGGTGGTGGATTCACCTTGACATCTTTAAATCAAAACTGGAATTCTTTCTAACAGATATGCTATAGCTAGGGCTCCATGTCTGTCTGTCTGTCCACCCGTGTCTGACTTCTGCAGCGGCCAGTGTGGCTGAGCCCAGGGCTCCCTCCCTGCAGCTGGTGCTGGGGGCCCCTGGGGCACCCCCTGACCTCCAAGATTCAGTCAGGGTTATTTGTGGTACAAGTCATGGACAGGTCATGGGCCAGGATAGTTTGTTTCTTGCCCGTGACCTGTCCATGCCTTTTACTAGAAATACCCGTGATTAAATCGTAGCCTTAGCTATAGCTCAGCTGAGAAGGTATGAGCTTGAGGAAGGTGAAATTCCATGGCCTGTGGTATGAAAAAGATCAGTCCAGATGATCATGATGGTCCTTTCCAGCCTTGAAAAGTCTTATGAATTCTTGCTATCCCTGGGATTCTCCACTGGCCTCCTCAGGTCACCCCTGAATCACAACCAACATCAGTGAAGATGCTGTTCCTATGCCTCCACTTCACACTGGCAGGCTCCTGAGAGCAGGCAGCAGCAGGATGCCAGGCTGCTTTATTGTAGCTTGCGGCTGGACAGAGTGCTTGCCTAGTGACAATGGTAAAGAATCAAAGAGTTGCTTCTTTTAACAATGAACAAGTAACTTTTAGAATAAGGAGAAAAATACCACCCCACAAGCTTCTCTTTCTCTGCTTCACTGTAGAGCTTCTGCCTCCAACCTTCCGCAATCATCTCCCAGTTGGCTTCTTGCTAGTGATTTAAAGAAACAGCACGGATATCCTCACAGTGTCCGCAGTGGCTAAATGTCCTGCTGGATTTGGAGTTCAGCACTCCTGGAGTGGGCAAACCATGCACAACTTTGCTCAGGTCATGCCCCTGCCTTACTGCACACTGACACTAACGGGAGTCAGTATTGTCTGCAGCTTCCTCCAGCAACGTGAACATACAGTTACAGAGATACTTGACCCTTTTCTCCCTGACACTAGTGTGCACTGGGTCAGTCACTTGTGTCTGCTTATGGACCCAACTGTGACACTATGCCCCATATTCTTCATAAAAATATTGTTATAATATGACTTTGGCATAACTAAGATGTGGCTTATGCAAGATGGGTCATGTGAGATATCATTGGGAAGGTTATGATTTACTGAATATGATTATCCTATTTGTATACATGTATCATTTCTGTACCTGAAGTTAGGAATATTGACTATGTAACAATTACAAATGGGTTTGAACCTGGGGAATGCCCACCAGACAAAATGCAATCAGTCAATGGCCCATTAGGAAGAACAATAGGACTTTGAAGATGCTAATCTCCCAACTTCCTAGGAAGTCTTCCTGAGTATTTATGACTGCTTTGACACTGCAGGGTCATGTGATCATGTCACCTGGTACTGGACTCCATCTTGGACTGCGCTAGTGTTTCTCCACTAGTAAAGGGTGCGGATCAAACTAGGAAACAAAGGATTCCCGCCATATGTAAATCTTAGTTAAGGCTGGGAAGTGAGTCAATCAGGGTCAGTTCTTCATGGAATCCCTGCCCGAGATGACTGCTGAAAACACCCAAGACTGATCTGGGGAAGAAAGGACTGGTCTCAGGCTAGAAGGTGTCTGGCCTGTGAAAGGAATAACTGGAGTTCTAAGTTGCAAGCAAGAGCAGTTTGTCTTCAAGAAACTCTGCAACCTGCTTAAAACAACATTTAGGGTGAGAAATTACTACTTGTAGCCAGTTTCTTTAGAGTATTAAGCTTAGTTTGTGCGTTTATTTGCTCAGTAATCTGCTTTGCTCTGTTTGCTATCCCTTATAATCACTTAAAATCTATCCTTTGTAGTTAATAAACTTGTTTTTGTTTTGCAGTTTGTGCAATTCATAATGGGGGGGGGGAGCTGTGCATATCTTCCTCCACATTGAGGGAGGGGGCGATATTCCTGAGCTGACGCTGTACAGTTCTCTGTGCAGCGCAAGACAATACCATTTTGGGTTTGCACCCCAGAGGGGTGTGTGCACTTGAATGCTGGGCAATCCCCAAGCTGATTCTTCCCAGGCAGAGCTGATTTCAGTGTCTATGTCTTTCTGCAGGTGGGTGTGTCCCTACCTGTGTGTGTGTTAGAGGAGGCTTGAGGGCCTGGCTCAGCAGGACAGGGTGAGGGAGCCCAGGCTGGTGGAACAGGCGGGCTCAGGGGGACCCCAGTACATCAGGTGGCACCAGGGCCGGATTAACCCATAGGCTAATAAGGCTAAAGCTTTAGACTCTCTTATTTTTAGGCCCCACTGTAGGCCCTCCATTCCATATTGAAGTAACAGCTGAGCGATGGTAGCGGGGCCATGTGAAATTTTTTGTCTCATTAGATATTGCTTTGTACAAATTAATCCATCAAGATTGTGAATTCAATTTATGGTGGTTGTGATTTTGTCATTGTGGGCTAAGTAAGTGTTTGTGGGCCCAAGCAATATTGAACTTTGTACACAGTAGGCCTACACTGGACAATGGAAACCATGTAGAGAAAAGGAGGATGGCCGAAATTGAAGGAGGCCCAAGAAAGACGGCAAAGACAAGATGCAGTGCTGATAGGAACTCTTTCTCTCCTAACGCTTTTTCCTCCTGCTAAGTCTGGTGGTGAGGAAGTCCCCCAGGCGATACCAGCCCAAGTGAACCCGCTGCGCCTGCGCCTGATGGAAAGGAGCAGCCTCCTGTGACTTCTCTAGCTGCAGTCTCACCCCACCCCTCTGAAGACTTTCCCAGTGATAGTAATACAAACATATCCTTCTCCAGCGGTCCAGGCGAGTGGGACAGGACTTCTCAAGAGCTCATTACATATTGGACTGAGAAGGGCCCACAGAAATGCCAGGATCTAGATGCTGACTTTTCATTGACAAAGCGAGAGTGCACCAATCAGAATCGTTATCTGATCAAATCAATGTTTGAATATGTGAAGCCTAACAAACAGATTGCCAAGCAAGAATGGCTAATCTATTCGCCTTCTAAGTAGAAAGTGAACTGTTTTTATTGCCGACTGTTTTCTGATACCAAAAAGCGGGGAATGTTCTGCGAAGGCTTCAGTGATTGGAAGAATACTGCATACATTACCAATCATGCAATGAGTGAGCCACATACATTGTCAGTTAGCAGCAACCATGCCCGAAAGAAAGTTAATGGCAGAATTGATACCCAAATGGAAAACCAGTTTTGGAAGCTCGTGCTTATTGGAAGAACATTCTCAGGCAAGTAGTTGAAACCATAGTTTTTTTTGCTGAGCATGGTCTGCCATTCCATGGCTCAGATGAGACTGTTGGATCAAAACACAATGGCAATTATCTTGGTGTTCTAGAGCTAATCATTAAGTTCGACCCTTTCTTAGCTCAGCACATCAATGAACACGCAAATCGTGGAAAAGGCCATACATCATATCTATCAAAGACTATTTGTGATGAATTCATTGCACTGCTGGCGAAGAAGATGCTATCAGCCATTGTAGATGAGATCAAAGATGTGGGATATTTTTCAGTGTCCGTCGACTCAACACCGGATGTGTCACATGTAGATCTGCTGACTGTCATCTTGCGTTATGTGCTACCAGCAGACCAGCTGAGTGGTTCATGATCTTCATAAACATCACCAGCCACACAGGGGAGAAACCTACCTCGGACCCACTCGATTTCCTCACCGAAAATGGGATTGATATCAGCCTTTGTCATGGACAAAGCTCTAACAATTCAAGTAATATGAATGGCAAATATTCAGGGATGCAGGCAAAGATAAAAGAGCGCAATGCTTTGGTGGATTCCATACAATGTGCTGTACACTCACTCAACCTTGTTGGCCAGTCTGCCGTCGATTATTGTGTTGAAGCAGTTTCTTTCTTTGGATTTGTCCAAGAATTCTACAATTTTTTCTCTGCATCAACCAGTCATTGGATGATTCTTAGAGATTCACTACCAGAGGAATGCCCAGTGCCAAAATCACTCTCAGGGACACGGTGGAGTGTCAATGCTGAAGCTGTGAATGCAGTTGTTCTGGGATACCCCAACATCCTTGAAATGCTAGAGAGCATCAAGGATGATGAATCTCAAAAATCAGCAAGATGCGAAGATCCTGAAGGATGTAATGCACACTTTGGAAACTGGTATTTTGTGTGAGGGCTGTAATGATGTACTTCAGCCATTCACCAAGTGCAGTCTAAGCTTGCAAAGTGCTCAAATTGACCTTTCCAGTGCTGTAAACCTATTGAGGAGTCTTGGAACTGTTCTTCAGGAAATGTGGGATAGTTTTGATGACTATGAAATTCAGGAAGCTGCAAGGACTGCTAACCATGAGCATAAGTCAGCCAAACGCCGCAAAAGACAGAAGACATGTGACGATGCAACTGCCCACTCATTCAGTGACAAGGAGGCCTTCACAGTTAATACCTTCATTACAATCATCGACAAACTGTAGTGTGCATTAGAACATCGGCTCGAGGCTTACGAAAATATTGACAAAACCTTTAGAGTACTGGCAAATTTTTCGCCTAACATTTCAAGTTCCAAACTCAGTGAAGGTATCAAATGTCTGTGTCAGAAGTACCCAAATGATCTCCTGGTAGATTTTACTAAAGAATTTCTTCAATTTGCTGAATTCACATCACTCTCAGATATAGAGAGAAAAGATGACAAAAGCAAATCTATTTGGATGTACCGAGTTATCACTGAATCCAGTGACAGAATGTTTCCCAAATGTTGAAAGTGCATTACGGCTGCATTTGTCACTAACAATCACTAACTGTAGTGGAGAACATTCCTTCTGTCTTCTAACAAGGGTCAAAAATGTCCTCGATCCACCATGACTCAAGAGCATCTCAGTGCTTTGTCCCTCTTGAGCACTGAGAATGAAATCCCCAGATCTTTGAATTACGGTGATATCATTCATGACTTTGCCAAAGCTAAAGCTAGGGAAAAAATGTGTTTGAAGAATTGGGTGTAGTGAGAATAGAATAAACTTGTTAATTTTACATAAACAACTATGTAAATATGTATGTAGATAAATGTTTGATGACCTCATATTGTTTTTGCAATATGTAATTCATACTTAGGCCCTTCCCTCCCATTAGCCTTAGGCCCCTCATAACCTTAATCTGGCCCTGGGTGGCACCCCAAAAGGGGTGGGGGGGCAACCCCATCACACCAATTCCTCACTTTCATATTTCTATGTCCTTGTAAAGAGACATGCATCCGACGAAGTGGGCATTCACCCACGGAAGCTCATGCTCCAATACATCTGTTAGTCTTAAAGGTGTCACAGGACTCTCTGTTGCGTTTAATATAGTGTCTGCCACCACTCTAAGAACCTCCTAGGAGTTTAATCTGGTCCTGCTGAGTTACATATGTTTACGGAAGCCAAGTATTCTCTTATCTGCTTCCTAATCATGCTGTTTCCCAATTTTCTAAGATCCTCAACAATGTAAATTAATCTCCAGCTTCCTTTTTGTTGAAGGCTGAAATCTAATGGTTGAGTATTTCAGCCTTCTCCATCTTCCAACAGCTCGGAGTTGAAGCTAGGCAAATTCCGACTAGAAATAAGGTGCAATTTTTTTTAACAGTGAAGGTAATCACTGTAATAATGTACAAAGGGTTGTGGTGGATTCTCCATCACTAGACATTTTTAATCAAGGTTGGATGTTTTAATAAAGGATTTACTCTAGTTCAACAACAGCTACTGGACTGGAAGCAGAAATTAATTCAGGCAAGTCCTATGCCCATGTTATGAGTCAGACGAGATGATCACAATGGTCCATCTGGCCTTAAAATCTATTAGTGAAGCTCCCTCCTAACTTTTCTTTAATTTTTGATCCAATTTATTTATAAAACCTTTTAAAATTCACTTTTATACGAAGTTGGAGTCAGAAAGAAATCATCTCCTTCCCATGTTGAACACTGAACAAACAGCTTAGGTATGTTTTGGCTTCTTGTTTCTTCCAAAATATCAAGTGTTGGCCACCAGAAGCAAGATATCATCCTTGATGACTCAGTGGTTTGATGTTATACAGTAATTTTTATGTTCCAAGTGTGATGGTACCTCCCATAAGGCTTTATGAAAATATGCATATGAATGTATATATATAACATAACTAGAATGTGTTTTATACTACATATGCCATGTAACATCTCTGTAAAGGTTATGATCTATTGAATCTATTAATCCTATTTGTATGGATGTATCACTTTTGTATTCGAAGTTATGAATATTGGCTGCCTACTTGTTTGATTCTAAGTAGGCTGTAGTGAAGCAGTTAGTCAGTTCCTGAGAAAAGACTCATCTCAGTAAGTTCCCAATCCGGAAACACTTAAGCCAACAATGAACTTGGAGGCACCAATACACATCTGGGCTTTCCCAGGAATGTGGCTTGGCTGGTAAGGAACTCAGTCATGCAGGGACATGTGACTTGCCCAAGTGACTCCAAAACTCCATCTTGGAGCTGGACTTTGCATAGGAGAGAGGAGGGGGTCTCCACACACAAAAAGAAAGTCTATTTAAGCCCGTGGGAGACCCCTCCATTTTGTCTTCAGCTGGCTAAAGAGAGAGCCTCTCCTCCCCCCAGGATACTTGAAGGAAACTGGAACAAAGGACAGTGTGCAAGGAGTGTGAGTGATTGCTGGACCCAGGCTAAAAGGAGATTAGTCTGTAAAAGGGAGCATTCTGGAACTGGTGAGGATCTTATCTGTATTCAGTTTCGTGTTTTAGTTTATTTTGCTTGGTGACTTACTTTGTTCTGCCTGTTACTACTTGGAACCACTTAAATCCTACTTTCTATATTTAATAAAATCACTGTTTACTTATTAATTAACTCAGAGTATGTATTAATATCTGGGGGAGCAAACAGCTGCGCATATCTCTCTATCAGTGTTAGAGGGCAAACAATTTATGAGTTTACCCTGCATAAGCTTTATAGAGGGTAAAACGGATTTATTTGGGTTTAGACCCCATTGGGAGTTGGGCATCTGAGTGTTAAAGACAGGAACACTTCTGTGAGCGGTTTTCAGGTAAACCTGCAGCTTTGGGGTAAGTAATTCAGACCCTGGGTCTGTGTTGGAGCAGATGGGTGTGTCTGGCTCAGCAAGACAGGGTGCTGGAGTCCTGAGCTGGCAGGGAAAGCAGGGGTAGAAGTAGTCTGGGCACATCAGGTGGCAGCTCCCAAGGGGAGGTTCTGTGATCCAACCCGTCTCACCAAGATCTTATGAAAACCAAAAGATGAGTTCCTTTTGCTTGGAAACTGAACACATTTTGAGATCAATGTAGTCAATATTTGGAAGATATGTTGCTTGAAAACAGTACTGTACTCACCTTCTCTGCACGTTGCAGATAAATCTTCTTGGCTGAATATGGACAGGTTTGTTCAACTGAACAGTCTAAGCACCGACTGGCAGCTCCTTTGGGCTAAAACAAATTTACAATGGTTTATTATTTACAGTTTATTATTTATTAATTTTACTCATCTATTTTCATCCACAGAAAGACACTTCTTGCAATATTAGGAAGATTTAGCCCAAACACATTTTAACAGAGACAAGTCCAACCAGATCCCCCTGTTCTTCCAGTAACCTTCCTCTTTCCTCATGGTAAGGAGGCAACACAGTCCCGTGTTTGGCACACAAGACCTCCTTCCGAACACCACCTCTTACACTGACTCAATGTGTGATTTTGAACTAGACACAGCCAGGTTCTCAGTTTTCAATCTGTAAAGTAGTCATGAAACTACTTACTGCTTAAAGTTAGTCACCTGCTTAAGTGCTTTGCTGATTCGGGGCCAAAATAGGGATACTACTACTAACCTAATACTGTGTTGTGAGGAGTATAACTAATAAATGTAAGGTGATTTGATATCCTTGGAGGAAAGACACTATACAAGTACTTACTACAGTAAAAGCTGTTTTATCCAGCATGTTGGGGGAATGGGGGGTGCCGGGAAGTGAAAAATGCTGGTTAACTAAGAGAGAGGGAGTTTGGGTGTGTGTGTGGGGGTGCAGGGCTGGGGATTGGGGTGCAGGAGGGGATGTGGGGCGCAGGCTCTGGTAGGGACTTTGGGTGCAGGAGGGGGCTCAAGGTGCCAGATCTGGGGGGCGCTTACCTCAGGTGGCTCTCTGCAAGCACCAACCTGTCCCAGCTGCTCCTAGGCGGAGGTGCAGCAGGCAGCTCTGCGCACTGCCCTCACCCTGCCCTGAGCGCTGGCTCTGCAGCTCCCATTGGCCGGGAACCACGTCCAATGGGAGCTGTGGGGGCAGCGCATGTGGGCAGAGACAGTGTGCAGAGCCACCTGCCGCACCTCCGCCTAGGAGCAGCCGGGACAGGTCACCGCTTGCGGGGAGCTGCCCGAGGTGAGAGGCCCCTGGATCTGACACCCCACACCCCTTCCCAAGCCCTAAGCATCCTCCCGTGCCCAAATTCCCTCCGAGAGCCTGCGCTCTGCACGCCCTCCCGCATTCCACCCCCTGCCAGCCCCACGCCAACTGGATTATAAACCGGAATTTCACTGAAGATCAGAAATGCTGGTTTATAGAGCTTTCCGGCTGGTGAAGTGCCAGATAAAACAGTGTTTACTGTATTATTAATACAATCAAGATAACCTGATGTTAGCACTGGTCATTATTAATATGCACCCTACAGTATCCTGCAAATAAGGATATTCAGCTCTGTGAGTGACTGGCAGTTTGAACAAGTCACATAACTTCTTTGCACCGCAGTTTTCACATTTCTAAAAGAGAGGGATTGTTGGGTGGCTTGATTTAATAATATCTATAAAGTAGCTATGAAGATGTGAAGTGCTACCTATTATTTCTCCATTAGGAATAAAGGTATCTACATAAATCATTTAAAAACACAGGTTGTTCAAATGAAACTCCTACAAATTACGACTGACACCAGCCGCTGCAAAAGTCATGGAGGCCACGGAAAGTCACGGAATCCGTGACATCCATGACCTCGGTGACAGACTCGCAGCCTTACTCATCATCTCCCAAGAAAAAGTGGTTTACAGCCATCCAGTTGAGCCTGCAGTGCAAGGTGCTGCAGCTAGCCCTCTGTCACCAGGGAGCGAGATAAGTATATGCTAACAGTACTAAATAAGATGCTCATGCAGCAAGTAATTGGTAGTTAAAGTTGGAAAACAATTTTAATTTTACCCCATTTTCACATCTTCACAGTCTTCCAAGAATTAACCTTTGGGGTTGAAACCTTTGATCTCTGCCCAAAAATTATTTTTTGAAGTCTGAGCAAATCTTCTCCCTCATTTTAAAGCATGGGACAGCAGAAAAAATTATGCAAAATATTCATTGTACAAAATTAAATCTACACATTCCTGAAGAGACAGCAGAAGCGACCAGGGAGTAAAACTTTGAAGTTAAAATGGACATACAGTAGCACTGTGTTTGGTTTGAGGGCAAAAAGAAAGTTAAAATTATTTCTGAATTGGCGTCATTGGCATTTGGTGCCTAAAGCACTTAGGCTCTTTTGAAAATCCCAGCCTAAGGCTACGTCTGCACTACAGAGCCTATGATAGCATAGGTTTATGCCTTAGTGTAGATGCAGCGTATGACACTATAAGGAGTTTTTCTGTCACTAAAGGAACACCCCCTTGAACGATGTTAGCTATGCTGACAGAAGAACTCTGTTGGCATAGCTGTGTTTGCACTGGGAGTTTTATCGGCATAGCTTATGTTGCTAGGGGGTGTGGTTTTTTTACATCCTAACTGGCATCACTATGCTGACAAAACTTTGTGGTGTAGACCTGGCATCATATTTTTGTTAGAGTCAATGTTTTTTTACCACCACAATCCACAATCTCACTGCCCCAGCCTTACAGGCACATGGGAAGCTGGTCTCAGACTGCTGAGATTACAATTTCCATGAATGGAGTAGTAACAGAGTTTCTGCCCAGCCCGGTCCCATCACCTAAAACACCATCACAATAAAAACAACATGTAGGTGCTCTTTTAAGGGAGCCTTGCAAAAAACTGTCATCAGCCAATTAAAAGAAGCAGCAAAAATGTGAACCCAACAACAATTGCCTCAGCAAGATGTGACCATCAAGGTCTAACTGGGACAATTTAAATGCTAACACTTTAAATACAGGCATTTTCCCCATCCCCCCCGCTTAAAAAACAAAGAAAAAGAAAGTAAGTGCAAATGGCTAAGTTAATGAAACACTGAGGTTGCACAATTATAATTACAAAAAGTCAAGATCTGGAAAATGCGAAGGCTCCACCAGCCACAAGAATTCAGCCTCATTGCTCACGTATGATGTACTAATATCTATTCCTATTCATCTGGTTAAACATGTAACTCTACAATGGTGTTTAGATACCCACAATTATAGGTACCTTAGAAATGCCCAGTGTTGATATTACCCACACCTGAGATTCATATTACAGTTTAAGTAACAATATGTATACTAAAAGACACAGAATTTATAAGATGCCTAAATTAATGTTGCTGGTGGATCCTTAAATTATTTTACTGCTTATTATTTGTATTGTGGTAGTGCCCAAAATCTGCTAAAACACATTTCAAGCCCCAAAGAGCTTATACTTTGCAAACAAACTGAACATATGCAGGATAGGGGAAAGGGATCCACTACACAAGAAAAGTAATCTGGATGATGGCAGGCACATCTTGTTAGCTTCATGTTGGGTTTAGGTTTTTTTGGTTGGTTGATTTTTGAATGTAAGTGTATTCATGTTTTGTAAGCAAAGCTGCAACAGTAGTTTTTATGTTCTGCATTTCCTTTTTGGTGAATCCAAACAGACAACCAGACTGTTACATTTACATAGCCTTTGCATTTTTATAAACTGATCATGACATGAAACATGATTGTTAGGAATGAACACCTATGCGGACAAACTCTTTTGTCCTGACTATTTTTTAAAACAAATTCAGATTATTTAGCTGAATATTTATTCTCTTAAAAGTTGCCTTACCATTAATAGATGTTTTAAATTAACATTAGAAAGTCAATAGTTTTTCCATTTAAAAAAAAATCCAAGGTCCCAAACTGTGAATCTGAATATTCTGCAAACTGTGGGCCCAATCTGGTAAAAATGTATGCGCTTGAGTAATTTTACTCACGTGAGTAGTCCTATTGACACAAATTAAAATCCAAATCTAAAGTAGAGCTAGATACTGAAAGTGGCTTGGAACAATTTTATAGCATGGAAGGTGCTAAAGGGAATGGAAGGCACCATGGGAAAGCCAGGATGAGCTAGCTAAGTGTGTCTTTAGAAGTAATGCATATTATACTGAGATTAAAAAAAAATTAAATAAACAGCATAAGCAATTTCTGCTTGGGCTATTTCATTGTAGGCTCTCTACACTACGGAGTTATTTCACTAGGGCTTCAGGACCTTGCCTACTGTAAGAATAGGCTTCTGTTAACACAAAACAAGGAATTTCCTGGAATGTTTATGTCATTTTCCCTATATATTTCAAAATGCACATTTTTAGCAGGAAAACTACTGATAACTACAGGTATGTTTAAAATGGTCACATACTTCCTGGAAAGAAAATAAAATGGAGATTAAATGATAATATAGACCCCAATGTAGCAAAGAAGTGTGAACTTAATTTACAGCATGTGCTTATGTGACTTAAGCACATGCTTGAATGCTTTGCTGAAATAAGGCTAGAGACTTTGAGTATTCCTTCATACAGGTGTATTTATACAAACCTTATGCTCATTAGTAAAATGAGAAAGACTGCCAAAAGATGACACCTTTAAGCACCTGAAATAAAACAGACATTTTCATAAATAAACAAACATATCAACATAAAAAAGTGTAAAAATGGTCATTTTTTTAACCATTCATTTTGGGCTTGATCCAACACACACCAAAGTCTACAGAAGTCTAACTAATTTCAATCCAACCTAGATTGGGCTTTTAGATATTCAAAGTCCTTCAACACCGATTAATTGTTGGTTTTCTGTTGCTCTAGTGGCGCAACTGTTTTCCCTAAGATTTTTTTCTGATGACATGTCTTAGTATTGGGAATAATTTTATTACTCAGGAAATCTCTAACTGAGCAGGGTCCTAGTCAACAGAATGATGTCAGAAGAGCTCTGATTTTTTCCTCTTGTCTCCAGTTTCTGTTATAAGAATTTACAAACAATAACTGTCTGGGCTGCCTTCAAGGAACTGGAAAAAATATGTCTTTAATTCTATACTAAAAAAGTTATGGGACTAAAATGGGTCCGAGAATACAAATACAACATCTCTATGTTTATACTTTTAAGTCAAGGATCACAATTTCTTTATGACCTCTAGTCCAGGATCAGTGCTGGATAATATTTACTGGTCCTGAAAGTGTTAGCATTGGTCCCACTGGATGTTCTGAGAGGTGAGGAGCTATCAAACAGTAAAAATCACATAATTCTGATTCTCATCTTCTTTTCCTCCCTCACCCACTTCAATTCTGGCATGATTTTTAGAAACTGATATTTCACAGACTGTTCGAGATTATGGACCAGTGAAGATAAATGACTTCAACAGGAGCCGCACAACAGTAACGGAGACTATCTGAACACTTAAAAGATGTAATCCAACTTGGCTAATTCTAGTGGTTTTAGAGATAATGTTACAGAAACTAAGTATTTTACAAAAATAAAAGAGGGATAATAAAAATAAGATATTAAGGTCTGATATCTCAATCTGTCAGGATAGAAAAATAATGTATGTCATTGAGAAATGGAAATGCCTCGCTTTCCACAAGCTGACCTTCCAAGGAATATTTCTAGTCTTGAAGATTAGTAAAATTATCACACCTTGAAATTGTCACTGTGACGTCCAACAAAGCACTTAAGTCCCATTTAAGCACATATTTATGTTCTTTGCTGAACTGGGGCCCTTAGGCACTGGTTCAGAAGTAGATACAGCGAGTCCCAGACCCAGGGCCATTGTCATTCCAATTCCTCCATTTTTGAGGATTCCATCCTTTTCTGATAAATACAGGTTTTACATCCAACTTGCAACTAACTCACCAGTGAAGCTATAATGGTTTAGTTAGCTAATTTGCCTAGGTTGGTGATTTTGGACAGACTGGAGAATTCAATTTAAAAAAGAAATTATACCGTTCTTGGACTACTAAGTTTCAGGAGAGAAAGAATGACCTGTGGCTAAGGTACTAGTGTTGGACTCAGGAGATCTGGGCTGAGCTCCCAGCTCTGTCACACAGACTCACTGTGTGACCTTGGAAAAGTCACAGACTTGCCTCAGTTCAAAATCCATAAAATGGATATAAAAAAACCCTGCCTCACAAGGGCATTGTAAGGGTAAATTCATTAATATTTGCAGTGCATTCAGATACTACAGTGATGGAGACATACATGTCCCGAGATAGATACTTTCCCCCACAATCTGATTACCACCTTTGGTTTATTCTTCCTGCCAGGATGTAATAACAACTACAAGCATTTTCCTTTAAATAATGTGAACGCCAATATTTAAATCAAGGTAATTTAATCTATCATTTTTTGTATCACTGCAGGAGATCTACATTTAGAAGAAGGTTCAGGCTTCTTGTTCTCTAGGAGGGTGATGGTCAATGACACACAGAGGGGAAAAGAGCTGACTGGGGCTAGGTTTACACTACAAAGTTTTGTCAGCACAGCTATGTCAGCAAACCTCCAATGCAGATGCAGTGATACTGACAGAAGAGTTCTTCTGACGACATAAGTACTGTCGTTTGGAGGAGTGGTGCTACTGTGCCGACAGAAAGACTCCTTCTGTCATCATAAGCTGCATCTACACTGGCAAAACATCTGTAGCCTAGACACAGCCTTAGTCTCTCGGAAGGGGAAAGTTACATAAAACGTGTGTAACTATAGCACCCCTTATTTGTGTTTGTACATGTTTATTCTTAGAACAAATATGATAAAAAAGATGCTGTAAACCTTTTATCACCCATCCAAAAATTAATGAGGTCGATGTCATGGCAGGACTTGGCTAACAAAGAAAATGTACTTTCTGCTTCATTCCTCCAATTTCCTCTCACAAACGAGTGGGCAAAATGCCAGAATCCAACCTATGCTTACAAGAAATAAACAGTAATTAATGAAATAAATAGATACAAGTAATTTATAGTTTAAAACAATTAATCATCCCAAATCTGGAAGGAGAAGGGGCTTGACAGCTCAGAAGGTGCTAGATTGACAGGCTCACGGAGGTCTTATTACAAGGAACAGGTACAGCAAGAGAAGCAGAAGTGCAAGCTTACCTCGCCCTATGCCCTACAAGTGTTTCTCACTCTGGACCTGGAAGGAGGAACTTTAGGGACTCAAGTGACCCTGGCTTTCAATCCCTGGCTTCTCTATGAGACTATCAAAGTTACCAATTAGTGCTAACCGTGGTTGTCTTCTATAATATGGACCCCTGTTTACTAGAAACTTGAATGAAGATACCAAATTCATTTCAGCTAGAAAAACATCACCTTGGTGCATCCTCCAAAAACCATGTTTGAAATTTGTATATTGCATAATCTTAACATACAGAAAACACAATTAAAGACCACTGATCCTGTAAATAATGCAGATTTCAACCACTTATATATATCAGATAGTTTGAAAATTATATTATTTTCAATTTTTTCTTAGTGAAAAGTTTGTGGTAAAAAGGGAAAATTTAGCAAAATACATTAAATTGTGTCAACAATATTTCCATCTGAAATGTCACACACATTTCACTAACTTCTTCATTATACTTCAGTGACAAAAATGGGCTATGTTTATCATACGGACTCCATTTTGTACTATGCGTTGAAGATATATCTAAACTTGCCCAAGGCAAGTACATATTGAATTGCTTTCCAGACAGCTGGCCTGCCCAGGAAAGTTGCTTAACGCCTCATTGAAGAACTATTACCGAGAAGCCATCAAGATGGCAGTTTGGACCTATCAGACTTAAATGTCTCTCAACTGCTGGTCCATCCCCATGGAACAATGTTTTTTTCTACACAGTGGCCTGTGGGGAGGACAAGAATGACAGAGGAATGGGAGCTAGCACATTCCAGGTAAGCACAGGGCAGGAAGACAGAGACTAGTGCTACTCTAAGCAGGGGATCAAATATCACCAAACTCAAGGAGGACTTGCAGGAGAAAGAGGATAGGAGAGACTCTGCCCTGCCTATAATGCTGAAAAATTCTCCACTCCCAGAAGGGGTGAGATGGGGAGGCTCAGGACTTTTCTTGTTTTAAAAGATCTATAACTCTTGAATTCTTTCAAGAGTGAAGTTTCTGTGGTTAAGAAATTCCTTTGCTAGCCCTGTGTTCCTTGCTTTCCTTTGTCCGCACAGGGCTTAAACTAGAAGCCCAGAGCATCCACAGCCTCAGTGGAGTTCAGTGGGAGCATGAGTAAGCAACTGTGAGGCTCAGGAGGTCTCAGACACAGATTTTGAGGTCTAGGGCAGCAATGCCCCATGTCCCAAGGAAAGGCACAAAGAGGTCTAAGTCTTGGAGTGTGTCCTAAGGACCCAGAAATGGTGATGAGACTCTACCCAGACCCAACTGGCTTGGAAACACATGAGAGCCAGTATACGGATCCACTCAGACTGGTGTCCATACAAAGGGGTATTGGGCCAGACGGTAACAACTTATACTTCCTATAAACTCCAAAAATGGAGTTCCAGGAAACAAAACAAAAATCATAGTCCCTCCCAATCTGCTTAAGTATAAACAAACAATTTGGCATCTTCCTTGTGAATGATCCAATCCAGATTTGTTTGGCTAAGTGTCACAGCAGAATTTGTTGAATATCTAAAATCCTTTTCACTAAAAAAAGGAGGCTAATTTCCTGAGTGTTATTAATGTAAAAAGATCATAGGAAAATTCTGCTTTTCTAAACACCTACTTCCTGCCAGTTTATTAAAAATGCCTTAAATTGGGGACACAATTTATGTGACTTTAATTTTGCCGAGCGAGAGACCGGAGAGTCTGCCACCGTATCTGGTGCCGCCCCAAGGCTTGAACACCGTAGCTTCCTATACATGAAAAGTATATAGTGTCATTTATCCACTGTTCTTGGAAACTGAAGTATTCCTCCTAAAAAGGAATAGTGAACAAAGACAATGTTTGTCTGCTCGGAATTTATAAGCTACATTAGTTTCTTACATATTAAACCACAACTGACATGGTAGGGCAAAAAACATTACTGACATTTAAATAAAATTTAATTTCAATGCTTGAATTTTTAAGTTTTCACTAACTTTAAACAGTGATGATCTGACAGTAAATTTCTTCTGACTGATATCAACTTTAGAAATAAAAATCCAACATTTTGCTGAAAAATTAAAAACACACGTTGGTAAGGCCCCCACCAAATAATGCTCTCAGCGCCTTTTCATAGCTCTGATTAGAAGTTACTACAAACTATTTCCAGATATTGCCCATTCCCGCTGATTCAACAGATGCTGTTGGTGTACAAACACGGAGATACATGAGAAGGAGCTAGATTCATGTGGGGGAGAAGAGAATCAAATTTGCCAAATAAGATGGGACAAAATATGAGAGATTCTCCCTCGCCCACACACATATACTTTTAAAAATGGATCACAGTCAGCAGAAAGTTCAAAACAAAAAATTTGTTTAGGGGTGCTTCTCATTACAACGGTCATGGACGTGAAGTCAGCAGTTCTCCAATAATTTACCCCTGAGTTTTGGCAACAAGAGGATTAAGCAATTTGTTTTCTAAAGCATTTAAAAAGGAATATTTCTAGTTGTTTTATGTTCACAATAGATGATTAATAAAGAATATAAAAAATACACAAGACTTAAAAAATAGTAAAATAAAAAAGTCTTTTGTCTCAAATCCTATTTAACTAATTAAATTTTGTAACAAAGAAGGAAAAGGAACAATAGTATTCAGCACTTAGTTGCATCTAGCACACTTGAGAAGAAGCTGAACAGCATATATGCTAAGTGTTATTTACTACTAAGGCACTGATTAATAGGTATAACTAAGCTCAGATAATACCATGACACACACACTTACGGGCTCCAGATGCTGTATGTGGCAGATGTCTCCAATTGCTCCAGCATCTAGTAGCTCCTATATTAACAGACAGCGAGGAAACATAACTCAGTTTGCTCTGCCTATCCAGATACACAAAGCCTCTTTCTGATACCACAAACAGACATGGCAACTCTCGCAAATGTATCGCATGAGTCGTGATTTCTGAGTAAAATTCAGTCTCACTCATGATCTAGCAATAGAACTCTCGAATGTCAGGATTTTTTCTGAGCCGCACCACATTCTTAAAATGGGTTTCTGGTCAAACAGGAGTTACCCCCCACAAACAAAAGAAGGTGGTTTCGCACCTAGACAGTAACTTCCAAAGTACTTTGAAAGACAATGAGAATTCATGTACATATCAGATAAAAAACGGTTACTTACCTTTTCGTAACTGTTGTTCTTCGAGATGTGTTGTTCGCGTCCATTCCACATTAGGTGTGCGCGCGCCGCGTGCAGGAGCGTCGGAAACTTTTTCCCTTAGCGGCTCCCGGCGGGGCCCCTGCCAGAGTGGCGCCACTGCGCTGTGCATATATACCCCCACTGGCTCGACCCCCTCCAGTTCCTTCTTGCCGATGACTCCAACAGAGGGGTAGGAGGGTGGGTGGCGGAATGGACGTGAACAACACATCTCGAAGAACAACAGTTAGGAAAAGGTAAGTAACCGTTTTTCCTTCTTCGAGTGCTTGTTCACATCCATTCCACATTCAGTGAATCACAAGCTTACCTTTGGAGGAGGGTAGGAGTCACGAAACAATTGATCGGAGGACCGCCCTGCCAACTGCCGCGTCCTCCCATGCCTGCTGGTTGACCGCGTAGTGGGTCGTGAAGGTGTGCACCGATGACCAGGTGGCCGCCCTGCAGATCTCCTGGATCAGGACCTGTGCCAGGAAGGCCGCAGAAGCTGCCTGTGCTCTGGTCAAGTGGGCCATGATCGCTGGAGCTGGGACACCTGCGAGGTCATAACACACCCGAATGCAGCTCGTGATCCATGACGAGATTTGCTGCGGCGACACCGGAAGGCCTCGCAACCTCTCAGCTACAGCCACGAACAGTTGCGTGGATTTACGAAAGGGCTTGGTCCAAGTAGAATGCCAGCGCTTGGCGGACATCTAGGGTGTGCAGGCTGTGGTGCCTCATGTCCGCATGGGGTTTGGGAAAAAACACCGGCAGACAAATGTCCTGGCCCAGATGGAATTGTGAGACCACCTTTGGGAGGAACTTAGGGTGTGGGCGGAGCTGCACCTTGTCTTTGTGAAACAGTGTATGGTGGCTCCGAGGTGAGAGCCCTCAGCTCAGATACCCTTCTGGCTGAGGTGACAGCCACCTGGAATGCCACCTTCCAGGAAAGGTGGAGAAGGGAGCAGGTAGCCAGGGGCTCGAACGGGGGCCCCATGAGCTTAGAAAAGACTAAGTTAAGATTCCATGGCGGGACTGGGGGGCATGTGTAAGGGAACACCCTTTCCAGACCTTTGAGGAATCGCCCCACCATTGGGTGGGAGAAAACCGAGCTACCTGAAAACCCTGGGTGGAAGGCGGAGATAGCCGCCAGGTGCACCTTAATCGAGGACGGGGCCAGCCCCTGCTGCTTGAGGTGCAGTAGATATTCTAGAATGGTTGGCACCGGGGCCTGGAGTGGCTGCACCTGTTGTGGCCCACACCAGCACGAGAACCTCTTCCACTTGGCCAAGTAAGTCGCCCTGGTAGAGGACTTCCTGCTACCAAGTAGAACCCGCTGCACAGGAAGGGAGCACTGGCTCTCCAAAGCATTTAACCACATAGCTTTCATGCCGTCAGATACAGCAATTGCAGGTCGAGGTGGAGAAGCCGCCCTCCGTCCTGCATAGTGAGGTCCTGGTGTAGGGGCAGAGTTATCGGGGCCTCCACCGACAGGTCCAGGAGCGTGGTGAACCAGTGCTGGCGGGGCCAGGCCGGGGCGATGAGAATGATCGATGCCCTGTCCCTGCGCACCTTGGGCAGTACCTTGTGCACCAGAGGAAGCGGGGGGAAGGCGTATTTCAATTCCCTTCCCCGCGGGATCGCGAATGCGTCGCCTATTAAGCCTGGGCTGCGATCCTGGAATGAGCAGAATTGCAGGCACTGGGCATTGCCCTTGGTAGCAAACAGGTCCACCCGGGGAAACCCCCACTTTCGGAAGACTGAAAGCACGAGGTCTGCTCTGAGCGTCCACTCGTGCATGCGGTAGGACCTGCTGAGGTGGTCCACCAGTTCGTTCCGCTCCCCCGGGAGATACACCGTCTCGAGGTGAATGGCATGGGCTATGCAAAAGTTCCAGAGGAGGAGAGCCTTGTAGCAGAGTGGGGAGGAACAGGCTCCGCCCTGCTTATGTAAAACATGGCGGTCGTGTTGTCTGTCAGAACTATCACGGTGTGACCACTCAGAGTGGCGTGAAAGGTCTGGCATGCTAAACGAACCGCCCTGAGCTCCTTCACGTTGATATGGAGCGATTGCTCCGGCCCCGACCACAAGCCCTGAGTCCTGAGGTCCCCCAGGTGAGCCCCACATCTGAGGTCTGACGCGTCTGTTACCAGCGTCAAGTCCGGCTGTTGTGCAGCAAAGGGAATGCCTTCGCAAACCACGGTCTGGGACCGCCACCACATCAAGGAGACCAGCCCAGCACGTCCTCCTGGGCTGTCACTATCAAGTCTAGGGGGTCCCTGCCAGGGCGGTATACACGGGTGAGCCAAGCCTGCAGAGTCCTGAGTCTCAGTCTGGCATGCTTGACCACATGTGTGCAAGCTGCCATGTGGCCTACCAGCCGCAGGGAACATCTGGCCGTTGTAGTGGGGAATTGGCACAGGGAGTTCACTGCTTGCTGGATGGCCAGGAATCGTGATTCCAGAAGGCTTGCCCTTGCCTGTACCGCGTCTAGGACCGCCCCTATGAATTCCACTCTCTGAGTTGGAACGAGAGTGGACTTGGGAATGTTGACAAGGAGCCCCAGCTTGCGGAATAGGCTCAAGGCCGTCTGCACGTCGTACCAAACCTCCTCTTCGGACCGACCCGCCAGGAGCCAGTCGTCAAGGTACGGGTAAACTCGAATCCTCTGCCGCCGCAAGAATGCCGCCATTACTGCCATGCATTTTGTGAATACCCGTGGGGCCGCAGCTAGGCCAAATGGTAAAACCGCGAACTGGTTCACGGTGAAGCGCAGGAATCGGCGATGAGCTGGGTGGATGGCGATATTAAAGTCTGCGTCCTTCATGTCGAGGGCAGCGTACCAGTTTCCTGGATCCAGGGAAGGGATGATGGTGCCCAGAGAGACCATGCGGAACCGGGCCTTGACCAGGAACTTGTTTAGCCCGCGCAGGTCTAGAATGGGATGAAGGCCCCCTTTGGCCTTGGGGATGAGGAAGTAGCGGGAGTAGAACCCTTTCCCCCTGAGGTCTAAGAGTACTAGCTGTACCGCTCCCGCCTCTAGGAGCGAGTGAACCTCCTTTTCTAGGAGATGCTCGTGAGAAGGGTCCATGAAGAGGGATGGGGAAGGGGGGTGGGAGGTAGGCAGGGAGGAAAACTGTAGCATGTTCCCGCTTCGCACCGTGCATAACACCCAACGGTCCGATGTAATGCTGGACCACGCAGGGAGAAGCGGGACAGGCGGTTGAGGAAACAAGGGGATGGATCCGGTAGTTGATCTGGTACGCTGTCCTCGAGCGCACCTTCAAAAGCCTGGCTTAGGGCCCAGCTGAGATTTATGTTGGCCTTGGCTCTGGCCCGGCCTATTGGAGTTGTTGTTATTATTGCGCCACCTCCTGTTGTCTCCGCCTCGTCTGCGGTAAGGCTCCTGCTGAGGACGAGGCTGATACCGGTGCTGGGGAGGAGGCTGTGGCTTGAAGGGCTTCCTCTGAGTCACCGGGGTTGCATACCCACCGACTTGAGTGTAGCTCTAGAGTCCTTGAGGCTATGCAGCTTTGCGTCCGTCTGGTCCGAAAAGAGCCCGGACCCTTCGAAGGGGAGGTCCTGGAGCGAATTCTGGACCTCAGGCGGCAGACCTGACTCCTGCAGCCACGCCGAGCACCGCATGACCACGCCCGACGCGATTGTCCTGGCTGCTGCGTCCGCCGAGTCCAAGGACGCTTGGAGGGAGGTTTTCGCTACAGCCTTGCTTTCCTCCACCAGGGCCGTGAACTCCTGTTGGGAGCCTTGCAGGAGGTCGTCCTTAAACTTCCCCACTGCCGCCCAGGAGTTGAAGGGTACGTCTATACTTAGCTCCGGGTTCGGCGGTAAGCAATCGATCTTCTGGGATCGATCCCGGAAGTGCTCGCCGTCGACGCCGGTACTCCTGCTCCGTGAGAGGAGTAGGCGGAGTCGACGGGGGAGCCTGCCTGCCATGTGTGGACCTTTGGTAAGTACTTTTAAGTTCGAACTAAGGTACTTCGACTTCAGCTACGTTATTCACGTAGCTGAAGTTGCGTATCTTAGTTCGAACTGGGGGCTTAGTGTGGACCAGCCCGAAGTTATGCCTGTTGAGGATGGCCTGCTGGTTAGCAATCCTCAACTGGGGGCCCCCTGACGAATACACCTTCCTGCCGAACAGGTCTAGGCGTTTTGCTTCCTTGGCCTTAGGGGCCGGAGCCTGTTGCCCATGGCACTCTTTCTCGTTTACCGCCGAGACTACCAGGGAACATGGGCTCGGGTGGCAGAACAAGAAGTCGTATCCTTTTGACGGGATGAAGTACTTGCACTCCACACCTTTGGCTGTTGGTGTGCTGGATGCCGGGGTCTGCCATATAGTCGTGTAATTAGACTGAATGGTGTTAATGAGCGGGAGCGCTATTCTGGATGGACCTTCTGGACTCAGGATGTCCACCATGGGGTCCTCCTGCTCAACTGTCTCCTCGACTTGCAACCCCAAGTTATGGGCCACCTTACATAGCAGCTCTTGGTGGGCTTTGTGGTCTATTGGCGGAGGTCCTGTTACCGCCGTGCCTGCTACTGCTTCATCCGGGGATGACGAGGAAGTTAGCAGCTGCTCAGCTTCCTCCGGCTGGTCTCCCTGGTCCCCCTCCCCCAGGGGA